GGCATAATATTTTATCCTCTTTTCCCCTCCCTTAGCGAGAGTGCTTCTTGATTTTGTCCTCTGGGCAGAATACAGCGGCCTCTCTGTTTTGAGGGTTGGACGGTCCCTACTAACATATGTTATGTTTAGTTTGTATTTTGTGTTTATTTTTTAGTTATTATTGGGGTTCATCTCCCTCCCCTCTCATTCTATCATTATTAGAATTTTATGTATAGCATTTATATCATCATCAAATTTTTTTATGGATTGGGGCGCGTTTTGGTAGGTCCCCCTTGAGAGAATGTGGTATTATGGTGCATGAAGGATTGATTGTGGTGATGGACAAGTTCTTGTGGTGAATGAGTAAATTGTAATGTATGAATGGGTCGTGAATCTGATTAGCTAGGTATAAGATAGTTAGTGAAGACCAGCCTCTACCCCTCCCTTTTCGGCCTTGTGCCACAATTTGTATTTAAATACAAATAAATACCCTAGTTATATACAATATATACCCAAAAAACCGTGTAACAGCCCCCCTTATTTTGGGTATATTATGGAATCTTCCTTCAAAATATTAGTAAAGTTAATAAATACTTTAATTCCAAAAATAATTTTTTTTTTTTTTTTTTTAAAAAGGTAATATTAATATGTAACAAATACTTTAGTATTCCAAATTTTATTTTATGTTTTTTTTTTATTTAATTTTGAAAATTTTTCACAAAAATTTTTTTTTTTTTTTGTTCACAGTTAAAAATTAATATAAAACATGAACAAAAATTAGTTTCATATCACGGCAAAAAAGTGGAAAGAATTGTTACTTTACCCAGTTAACCCTTCAGGTTAATAAAACATGAAAAACAATATTTTAAGTTTGGGACCCATGCGATTACTATCAAAAAATGGAAAAAATTATTATTTTATCCATAGCTGGGACCCATTAAAACAGTTACTATCACTCCGGGTCAGAGTGATCCAGAGAATCATTTAGAAGAGGATTGGGCTAAAAAAGTAGGACCATTTACATTTATACCCCGAAACTAAGGACTTACATTCATACCAAAAAACTGAACTGACGTTTCTTAGGACAGTAACTAATGGAACGTCCTGGGCCCAGGACCTTACGGACTTAATGGATGCAGTTTACGTCCTACCCAGGACAAATAAGGACCTTAATAACTTAACGGACCAGTTTTATTACCCAGGACCTAAAAAAAGGGGCCCCGTATGCAGTTTTAATTTCAGGACCTAAAAGGACCTTTTTGGATGCAGTTTTACGTTTTGCCCAAATAAATCCGTCTAAAATCAGCACCAAACATTGCAAAACGTAGTTTCAATTTCATAATCGTTTTTTTTTTTACAAATAAATCCGCCATATTATTTCCGATTAAACACATTCAATTTGTACTAATTTTTCTATATTGGTCCCTTGCTTTGATATTTTATTGATATGCTTTGATCTTTAATGTTGAATTTCTAGACAAAGCAATACTGCCCTGATCGCCGAGTAAATAATTATTGGCTCAGTTATTGCCAGTATTATAATTTTTTTTTATTAGCAATTTAAGAAAAATAACCTCTTGTGTTCTTTTTTCACAATGCAATACATCCAGCTTCACAAGTAAAAAAAGTGAAATCTTTCGCTGTTTCTTAATTCCTGCTGATTATTGGGTTACCATCCGCTAGCTTAAAGCAATAGCCTGTTATATTCTTATGGTCTGGTGAATTAGCCCAATCAGCATCACAAAATTCTTCCAATTTTAATAAGTTTATTGGATTGTCAAAATACTAGGCATCGACTATTAGTCCACTTCAGATAACGTAATACTTGCTTCAAAAAAATTGTTAAAATGTACAGTCCACGGTTTATTTAAGTTTTGGGATAACTTAGTAACCGAATAGCAGATTATTTTGCCTAGTTCATATCATCATGCAAATAATACTTCCGACCAATATTCTGTATTCATTTTCACACTCCGCTATACCATCTTCTTATTCATAATTATGTTTAAATCCATTTCACATGGAGTAGTTCTTTTGTTTTGCAATTTTGCATGTTAAATTTAGATAAAAGCCTTTCCATGTATCTCGATTAATCCATTGAAATAGTGTTGCCTTTAAATTTTAACTGTATACCAAGAAAAACATGATAGTTCGACCCAAATTGGTCATTTTAAACCTCATTTCTAGAGAACTTTTGATTTTTAATAGCGCGGCCTCACTCTTTGATACAATTAACATATTTTCGACCCAAATAACTAGAATTACTGATATTTCATTATTAAATGTCTGTGTACAGACATGGGTCAACTTGAGGAGATTGAAATTATTGTCTAATTAAATAACAATGGATTAAATTATTCCATGTTTTTTTTCCACTCATTTTGAGTCCAAATAGTGACTTTTTAAAGTTTTTTTTTCTTAAAGTTTCCATACATAATCATCACTTTTTGCCTTTTTTTTTTTTTTTTATATATATATTTCATGGTCGATGGTTCATTCTGAAAAGCTTTTTTTTTTTTTTTTTTTTTTTTAACATCCATATGATGTATATCTTTACCATAATGGGCATCCATTTGCATCAAAACCTAATTAAGACTTAATGTCACTACATAAGTCATCCGCCCCATATATCTCTATAAAATAAATCCGTTAGCTACAAAAACGAACATTGTAGACTGGCGATCCATGGCAGTTCGCTTTACAGTGTAAACCCAACGGCTGCCGATGATATTTTATATCAATTTAATTAAGACTTAAGATTTTTACATAAGTCGTCCCCCCCCTTATATCTATGAAAATCCGTTAACTATAAAACGAACCTTGTAGACTGACGATCTATCCTCAGTTTGTTTATAGTACGGCTACGGATGCCGATGATCATCATCATCATCATCCGGGGCGTTTTGATTCAAAAAGTGTCCCTTAATACAAAGATTAATTTTCTTTATTTTTTTCTTAAATTTCTTTTCTTTTTTTTTTGGATTAAATTTCTTCATTTTTTTTTGAAATATAATTAATTTTGAAGGCATTCTTTCCGCTATGGTCTTGACAAAATGTATGGCTTCTTGGTAGTTCTTTGAGATACATTTGTACTGCATAACAACAGTTAATATTACATTAATTCATTTCAAAATAGTCTGGCTTTTTCCATTTTGGTCGGAATTTGCGAATTTGATTTTCTTTTTCTCGTATACATCATCTGGTATAGTACCTTCCTCTGATTGTGGACTCTGAACGGGTTTTCTACCCATAATTAGGCCATACTTAATTCGGGTTGGACTAGTTCCTCGGAATTAATTATTTTTCTTTTTTTTTTCGGGTTCCTCCCCTCGCTCAAAGGAATTTATAAATCTGACGCATCTAATCTTCCTCATCGTTTTAGTTTTTAAATCATATAGTCTGGACTTGGCTTAATAAATATGTCCCTTTCATTTTTTTTGGATCTAATTCCGCCCTGTGGTCAACATATATACAGCAAATTATATCAAAAAATATGCATATCACTCACATTGGGCTTTCATTGAGTTTTAGTTTTTCTTTCTTAATGCATAAAACCACAGCTTTTTGGGTAATTCAAATTCTATTAACAAACATCTAGCCATTTCAAAAAGTGTCCTCCAACTCCGTTCAGCGATTCCGTTCTTATATGGAGAATAAGAACAGGTTTTCTCATGTTTTAATGCCTTCATTTATTTAATTTAAAGGTTTTTGTAAGCATCAGAAGTAAATTCTCCACCATTATCTGTTTGAATTATTTTTAATTTTCCATGCGGGGAGTTATCGGATAAATAGATTTTCGTAAATTGCAGATTATCAAATTTATTTTCAGAAAGTAAATCATAAGCCCTGAATATTCGGCAACAAAGTTTAAGTCATTTTCCCTTTAATATACATGTCCTAATATTTTAAATCATTTGGAAGTGTATTTTTCATTCCAGTGACATGTTCTTGCAATCTTTAACATCAGAATTATTACATTGGCCTAATATTTTATGCCAAGTTCTTAAGTCGTGCATGGCCATCTTAGCAGACTTAATACTTTTCAAATAATACAAACGTCCATATTGCTGTATATTAAATTCAGTTCCGTCTGGATATCTTAATTTAGGAATATATAAAGCTTTTTTTTAATAAACATTTCAATATATTTCCTCTAGTATTTCGCAGATAAATACAGGCGCCACCTCTTTTAAAGACTAAATTATTAGCTCTGGTGCCGTCAGTAACTCGATAAAATGCGAGTCGAGCTCAAAATTTTGTTTCATCTGTAATTAATGATTTGTCGCACCCGCATTGACCAGTTACGAATCATAACTACTGGCCACAGCACCCAATCCAAACAAAAAGGCATATGCGTCCATTCGAAATTTTTTTTTTTTTTTTTTGACATTTTTACAAAAGTCATACCGTGTATAAAATTGACAAAAACGGACATGGCCGACATTATTACCACAAGGAAAACAAACAACATTTCTTTTTTTTGTTTTTAGTTGTTTTTCCTTTATAATTCTTGTCATTTGTAATAATTGCCTTTAAAGCCCTTGTTCTTAATATCATAATTCCTAGTCTGATCGCTTTGAGGAATTGATTTTCTGAATTTTTAAATGACGTTTCTCAGTTGCATTTTTTTTGCCTCGATTTTGGGGAAATTTACATATTTATAATTTCTTCATAATTACGTAACGCAATTTTAAACTCAGTGAAAGTTAGTTGTTTATCCTTTTGCAGTTATAACTGTCGTGAATGGTTTGAATGTCGGTGGTAAACCCTTTAAGACCATGGCTATTAGCAGCCCATCGAGATAGTCTCTCCTGTTATTTTAAAGCATTTGTGACATTCTCTGCGAAGAATAATTGGTTACTGATTAATTTTCTTTTAAGAAAAGTTCCATTAAGCTTCTTCTCACGAACAAAAATTTACAAAAATACAAATCACTACAATCTCTTACACACACAGGTCATCTTCTACCTTTGATAACTTCTGGGCCCTGTGCAGCACTTTAAAAAATTATGACTAAAAAATTATTTAAAACAAAAAGAATTTAAAAAATAGATAGATGATGAAAGAAAGAAAGATAGAAAGAAAGAAATAGAAAGAAAGAAACAGGAATGAATGAATGAAAAAAAAGAAAGAAAAAAGAAAAAAGAAAAGAATGAAAGAAAGAATAAAGAAAAGAATGAAAAGAAAAGAAAAGAAAGAAAGAAAGAAAGAAAAGAAAAAATGAATGGATGAATGAATGAAAGAAAGAATGAAGAAAGAATAAAATGAAAAAGAAAGAAAAGAATGAATGAATGAATGAATAAAAAAAAGGAAGAAGAAAAAGAATGACAAGAAAAAAAAGAAAGAAAGAAAGAAAGAATGAATAAATGAAAGAATAAAAGATCAAAAGAATGAAAGAGAAAAGAAAGAAAAAAAAAAAATGAATGAATGAATGAAAGAATAAGAAAAGAATGAATGAGAAAAGAAAGAAAGAAAAGAAAAGAAAAATGAATGGATGAATGAATGAAAGCAAGAATGAAGAAAGAATAAAATGAAAAGAAAGAAAAAAGAATGAATGAATGAATGAAAAAAAAGGAAGAAGAATAAAAAAGAAAGAATAAAAAAGAATGACAGAAAAAAGAAAGAAAGAAAAAAAAAAAAGAATGAATAAATGAAAAGAATAAAGAAAGAATAAAGAAAATAAAAGAAAAGAATGAATGAATGAAAAGAATAAAGAAAAATGAAAAGAAAAAAGAAAGAAAGAAAAAAAAAAGAAAGAAACAACAAAACGCTATTGGATTTGTATGAAGCAAAGTTCATAAAAAAAAGAGGTAAGCAGAAAAGGATATCGCGAAAAAGAGAAATCCTAAAGTCCTAAAAAAATAAGGAAAGAAAGAAGAAACTGAAAGGAAGAAAAAAAGACATAATGAAATAGAATTCTGTCAAATTACAATACTGACCACATATGGAAGGAAAAGGGAGATAACTGCCCTCTGTAGGATTGAAATAATAGAGAGGATCACTGAAAAAATACGAATACTCAAGGAATCAGCACATATGCCAAAAAATTTCCTGAGCCGACCAAGCATAGAAATGAATACAATATGAGAACCAGTAATAAGGACTACTAGAAAAAAAGCAATGAATAACAACAAAAAATTGCAGTATAAAGCTCCTGTAAAATTACGATAATAATAAAAGAAAAAATTGTAATATGAGCACTGGTAAAAAGATGGTACTGTGGCATTAGGTTTATAAGTCAAAAAATTCAAGCACAGATGTCCTGAAGGATATAATGTCCCAGTGGATAAAAGACGTTGGTTAGATCCAGTGACAAGACCCACTGCAAAATTGAAACAAAAGTTTTCAGTTAAAAGGGAAAAAAGTGAGACATCCGGAAGAGGCATGGCGTGGAACTAGAACAATCTAACCCGGTAGACGAAATAAAGGGTTCGGTTCTAAATGGAGTTAAATAAAAATATCCGGAACGTACAACGACGGTTAAACGTTGTGAATATGGGAAAGTGAAGATGAGGATAACAGTTCGAATGATGTAAATAATGCAAGTAGTGACAAAAATCTGTAGAAAAGGATTGATAAATAAAAAAGTCCATTACTTTAGAAAATTACTTTATTTACTTTTGGATACCGAACTGAGCAGATATAAAAAAAAAAATTATAATTTATGGCAAGAAGGATTTTTTTTAAAAGACACTGTACAAACATTGCTTGATCGGCAACAACTGCTTCCCATGAGTCGGTTAAGTCACATCTGATATAACAGTTGTTTTAAGGATTTAACTCTGTATTTATAAATGTAATATATTTCTATTCCATGAATAATTATTTTAAATAATGAAAAATAATTAAACATATTAATATCAATACCAGGCTACAGCAAGTGGTGAAACAAACTCGGAGAGTTGACTTAATGAAAATAACTGAGACATCCGGAAGTGGCATGGTACGTGGAACTAGAACAATCTACCCAGTGGGCGAAATAAAGTTCCGTTCAAAATTCAATCAGGGCGAAGATTGGTTGTGAATATGAGGATGACTTTTGGGATAATGTAAATAATGCAAGTAATCCTATCTCATCTCAGAGATATATTTTGCTTTATTTCTGTCCATTATTTTTTGTTTCATTTTCTTTCTTGACTAAGGCATTTTTTTACCTGATTCCCCTTATCCCCCTTTCATTCATTCATTTTTTGCTTTAGTTATTTTCCTCTCTTTTCTTTCTATCATTTTCCTTCCGTCTTTGCTTTCCAATCTCTTCCAATTTAATGAATGTATCGACCTAATAAATCCCAAAAATCGGTCCCAAAATCTTAAATGTCTCCGAGGACCCCAAACGGAAACATTTCAAACTCCATCTAATTGTACAACAAGAAGGAAATGAAAGCCCCAGTCTATTTAATCATAAGATTTTTCTATTCTATGCTCTTTGCAAAATGGCTCTTGGGCGTTTTAAAAGAGCAGATTTAACATGTAAAAGTCTGAGGACTAGACTGTAAAAAAATAGGAACCAATTTTGAGAGGGACAATGTTTTTGTAGATTAGCATTTTTGGGGCAAAAAGGCCTACAGAACTTGAGAATAATGTCAAGGGTCACACTGGATTGCATAAAATTAATTTTATATCCAAATGTAACTTTTTTTATTAAATTAGGGAATATGAGTTTGGTATGAAACAAATATATGCAGACTGATATAACGAAAATTTTCCTTTTTCCTATTTTAGGAAGAGTTTTTTTTCATAATAATTATCGATAAATTGTACGGACCCTTTTTTTGTGGAGGGAGGGATTTTGTCAAGAATATCATGGTCAATAGTAGGAGAACCAGACAAGATATGGCATCAATATTCAATGCCCGGAAGAATAGTAGAAAATTTATAAATGTATCTAGTAGGATTCTGATGAGACTGTCTCTCGTCATGCCGAACAAACTTTCCTAGTAATGTTAAATAATAGTTTAGCTGAACTATTATTTTTTTTAGTGAAAAATGTATCTTGACTCCGACATTCGGAGGTTGACCTTCGAGGTCAGATGGAAGCCATAATAAGCAGAGTCGATTTTGACTGGCTGAGCTAGCGTGGGAATGAGAGAAAGGTTTTTTTCAGCGATTTTCGAGTCTTGAACCGTCAAGCAATGTTTTTTGTCAGATTTGCTACTAAGACCAAAATAAATAGTTTTCATCTGCAGAACTACCTGTGAAACTATTTTTCTATGTCAAACAAAATTATTAATCTTTTATTATTTAATGGATTAAATATGTGACTATAAATTTCTTGATGACTTCTCTTTCATGCATTAACAAGAAATTCCGCACAATTTGATATCTATTTTATGGTAATTCCATAAACAGGAATAAGTTGAAATAATCTCATAGTGCAAACCGGTTTTCGGACAGCGTAAATTGTTGGCATGGTTGACATGGAAAGAAGCTGTACTTTGCTCTATTAAACCAAATGAAAAATCCTTGTAGATATGGATGAATTGATAAATTCCCCACATTTAATACCAATTTTGAAACCATTTCATTTACATAAACCGAAAAGTTAAAAAGTTTTGAAATATGGATGATCCCCAGATTTGGGCCGCATGAAATTCCAACAAATCCACTAACACGAATGGCGCATCGTCGAAATCACATTCTCCACACATATGACTGAAATAATTCTTTTATACATGTATTAAGAGAAATTCCGCATAGTTTGATATCCATTTATGGGGATTCCATTGAGGAAAAATTGAAATGCAATGTTTTAGTATTATTTTTATCTTGGCTGTTTCTTTTAGCTCTGATATTTCCAGTTATAAATGTTTATAAAGATGGGTTTTTGACGAGAAAAAAAATTGTCTGACGCGACACAGCGAATCAACTATCCTAACAGCAGACGTTCAATTGATTCAATATAATCTTTCTATTTTGTCAGAAACAAAACGTTAGTCCGAGAAGGCGCGAAGGGTCACTCTCCTGGAGATTAACAACATTTGATAGAAAGCAAAAGGTGTTCTCTCAAGCGATTAAAAAAGCAGAGCAGAGCAGTTTCATTTTGAGGGAGGCAAAAATCTAGAAGCCATTTCTTGCCCCAGTTAACCACTGATTAGATGACCTTTTCAAGAGCAATTACCAGTTTTACTTTGTCAATGTGACAGAGTTTCTATTAAGATAAGTAAATAGTTGTGTTCTCGGGTAACATAAATTCCTACTTGGGAACTGATGACATCAGGAAGGTCTTGATGATGAAACAACGTATCAAGGATAGAGGCTTGGGATCCCAGCCTTAATGAGAAAGGATCTAATTAAGTGACCGTTCAACATGACCTTCATATAACGTTTCATCACCGCCGATCAGACCCTAAACCTGCACCAATCTTAATAAGTGGCCATACCGAAAAAGGCCCATTTTCCTTGAACCCTACTCGGTCCAAAGTTCACCGTGTGTGTACATGTGTAAATTTATAACAAACAGCATAAACTGCAAATCACGCGCTTACTGTTTGGAGGAAAAGTTCATAATTACATGATCCACTGTTACAAGGATGCATTTCTATAATAAGGGGATTCCATTGAGTTCTACTTGTTATTACAAAAAAGTTTTCATTCATGAAGTAGTTGTAAAATAGAGAAATTAGAAATAGAATGTTTGGAAGATTCTAGATCATTCTAGTATATTCGAGAAAAATCTAGATGATTCGAAAACATCTAGAAATATGCAAATTAGGTGTTAGCCCCCTATAAAAATGGGATTTTGGAAAGGGTTGTCAGTTGATGAATGGAATTTCTGCTGTTATCAACTCCGGCTTTTTGATTCAAGGACTATTATATCCAGCCGAAAGAATCTCTATAAAAGTTGCCGACCAACAAAAACCCAAAAGAGAATTTCATGGAACAAATTTGGTAAATAGAATTTTGACTAATTTTCATTGACCAAACTAAAAATTAATATTTATTTACACACCTTTGTGGATTTCCAAATATAGCACTTAGATTACTTCACTAGCCCTAAAGTGATAAAGATATTTGATTCCTTTCCTTCTCCCTCGTAACACTTCGCCAGTAACTCTGTGTTTTTTCTGTTTTGTAGGCCACAATTGTTTATCTTGTATATATTTTATGTTCTGTTTCCCCAGACCGGGCCTTGTTGAGCAATTTCTTTTTTTTTAATTTTCCCTAGCACCCCTTTGGGTTTTTGGTTTCACCCGCCATTTTTGTATTTTGCCTTTTTTCCGCATGCTCAATTCCTTTTCCGGAATTTTTAAGGGGGTTAAATACAGATTTAAAAATATTCGATTTGACCAAAATGTTTACGACGCCAACCTTAAATTTTTAACCCTTCCTTTTCAATTTTGGTTTTTCCCCAAAAAAATTTCCCGGGCCAAAACTAACATCAATCAACATGAAAAATTTTTTTAAATTCTTTTTCTGGATTTTATTCATCGTCTACTACCAAGGATATCAAGTGTTTTCCCATTCATGCTGATTCAATTTTTTTGGCCCATCGGTTAGATTTCCAGACTACACCAAATGGATTTTATGGTTCCTCTTAAAAGGAATTTAAATTTTAAAACATTTGCCCAAATTAAGGTCCAGGAGATTTTCAGAACTTTTCCCCCCCGGTTTTAGGACTATCTTTTTCTATGTCCTTTTTACCGAGTTAAAAGGCATTAAAGTCACCAATTTTATCTTCAAATCAAAGTAATTGCTTTTGCCCAAAAACTCTTTTAACTCCCAACTTTTTAACGTTACTCCGAATTATGTTCCTTGGGGGTTTTCCCTTTAAAAAACCCCCAAACTTTTTTGGGACACCAATTTTTTATGCATTTTTTTACTTTTTTTTTTGTACAAAAATATTTAATTTTAACCCAAATTGGGAAATTCCTTTTTTGGGAAAGACTAAAAATCATAATTTGATATTTTTTAGCACATTCTTAAAAAACACTTCCCTTTTTTCGTTTTAATATTTCTTTTTTATGTTTTTTTTTGGAAAAAAAATTTTGGTATTTTTAATGAAATACATCTTGTTTTGTATTCAGTTTGTCGGGAAAATTTTTTTTCCATTTCCTTTTAGAAAACAGATCCCATTCACACACCCACAATCTGTTCGGGGTCCATGAGATAAGGGGAAACCGAACGGACAATGAGATCAACCCGATCGTTTTTGACTGCTGGGACCACAATTTTCCCAAAAAGGGGAAGAATTTGGGAAACCCATTTCCACGTTTTACAAACAAAAACCCCCCCACGCGGGGAATAAGATCTGACTTACCTCCTTTTTTTTTTTGTAAGAATTTTAGCTAAATAAAAACTTATAATTTTTCTTTTTTTTCCCGAGTTTTTCTTTTTACCCAAAATTTAAAAAAAAATTATATCCAAAAAGAGAGTCTTGGATCGCGATACATCATATATAAATACAATAATAAACGCCTACCTTATTCAGCAGTGAAGTCTTATTCAAAATATTGGTTTCTAAAAAAAGGATGTGAAATATGAAAACTTTAAAAATTTCAATAAAAAACAACGAAATCAATGAAAAAATTTCCTTTTTGGGATCATTTTTTTCCCCCAAAAAAAAATACTTTTTCAAGTCGAAAACCTTTTCCCGTGTGTTTTTGTAATTGATCAATTTTCATCAGTAAGTTGGAATATTTCAAAAAAAATAAGTTTTTTAAAAAATTTTTTTTAAAGAAAAAAAATACAATAAATTTCCCAAAATTAACAGAAATTTTTTGGGCCCCAGGCCCCCCGTATCCCCAAAAAGGGGGAATGAGGGCACAAGAGGGGCCTTTTCATTTTTCCCAAGACGTTAAATTCCCGGGGGAAATATGCTAATTTTTTTTAGGGGAAAAAAAAAGGAAAAAAGATGGCAAA